CAGGAGAGCGAGTTAAACTTTGGGATACTCATACAACGAACACCAAACGACCTCCGTTCAACTACCCATAACTTTGTCAATTTTTTAATAATCGATGTAAAACTTTCACACAATATTTATAAGATATTAAACCTTTATTTAAAAAAAAAAAAAAAAAATACGAGAAAAAAATATTAAAAACCTTACCCTCACCTGTGTTAGTATTTTTAGGATTATAGACACATAGGCAAATTTCGGCAAAATTTTTTTTCACATTTGTCACCTTAAAAGCTCGACAAACACATTGGCATACATATGAACTGTAGATTTTTGTGGGGTCACAACTATAAATTTACCTAAACATAAAAAATACGTTCAAAATATTGGCAAAAAACATGATTATTTCACATTAATATAATGAAAACAATAATTATTAATATATAAAATTATGTCTCATTTTATAGAAAATACCTTGAACTTCAAAACCCATTACAAAAAATATTAATTTAGACACGTAATAAACGACCGGACCACTTCAAAGTTCGGTTTCGTTGTGAAACATTCGCGATGCGCGTAGCTGCGCTTTGCAAATGAACACGTCTTCACATCTTTAATTCTATTTTTAGAAAGTCCTGTTCGATTTTCAAAAAAATCTGGTATGACACAAGGAAGTTTGGACATTTAAGAGACGATTTTTCTACTTTTCGTACATATTTGTTGAAATAATTTTTTTGATTTTTGGCCTATGGGCGCCACCACTGTGCACCGTGGGCAGCAAATTAAGAGCAAAAGATTAAAATACGAAATAAAAACATATAAATATTTATTATAAAAACAATTGCAAGTTACAAAATACAAATAAAAAGACTTTTAAATAAATTGAAATTAGATAAATATTCTCATTTAAAGAAATCCGTATTGTATATGATTAAGTATAAGAATAAAATTAAAATCTTCTTTAGAAATATTTTACAAGTATAACTTTTACTTAAATTTCTAAACCACTGCACTTCCTTAACCCACTGTTCCTTTGCTCTGGCAGCAAAATGTTGTGTTTACCGTCAACATCCGGCTGAAGTGCAGGCAGCTCTGGGCCAAAGACAATGTGCCCTGTTATCGATGTGCGGCTTGGAGTTATGGCCGCGTAATAATCTATTGAGATGCGTTTTATTGCGCATACGCCGCGTACGCCAAAGCAGTTGGCTGCGGAGACGCAAGCACTTCCATGGCCCCCCAAGCTGCACTTCAGAGTCACATGCAATGCATTAAAAGCCCCTCCGGCATTCACTTAATGGTAAAAAGATTTGGGGCCGACGGTTATCGGGGGAAAACTGTTGCTAATTTCGACTGGCAGACGGCAGATTATAAAGTCTGAGCTGGCAGCAGGAAAGGCGCCTTTCGGCCACAATTCCTTCAGCATTGATTTCGCTTCGCAGCTCGTTTCGTTCGGTCAACATGTGGGACGGCCACTAATTAGTCGTTAATGATGCATTTCCCCAGATTGCATGTCTCGATTATTTCGTTTCAGTTCGTTTGGCTCGGGTTACCCAGGGCAAAAGCACAGAAGCACAAAACACGCACATACTTTCCGAGTTAATCTTGTATCTGGAATCCCGGCAGACACGCAATATGGAAGCCCTGCGGAAAGTCAAAGGCAAACGGAGGATGAAAAATCTTCTTACTCACGCCATGAGTTGAAGTTTTCCCGCTCCGTGATTCCTTTATCCTTATTTACCTTTAAGGAGATAACGTAAGCGGGCGGTGGGGGTTTGAATAAAAATTTGTCTTTGGTATTTCAATTTGCTTTGCATATAATTATTATTGTATTACTCATACGCCCCGTGGGCCACCCACAAACACACACACACACACGCATACAGAGAGGGAATTAGTCTGGCGTGCATGATACAACTTTCTGAAGTTCAGCCAACGGATTTCCATGTAAGTACACAGGCGAAAAATTTGCATAAATCCTGAAAAAATATTTGCATTGCTCAGCTTCCCGTTTCCCATTTTTGTGCAGCATTTAAACCATTCCACATCCCAGGCGTCTGCGGCCATTAATTTGCATTCATGAAATATGGCTCGATGCTGATTTTCGTTTCGAACTGAACATATTTTCGGGCCACCGAAAATGTTCTTAGGGCTCTCGGCTGCCTTCTGTTTGCATTGTTTATGCCATAAGCTGATTAAAAACTCGGTACCCTTCGAGGGCGTGGCTTGTCCTCCTGTATTTCCATCGATGCGTTGGCCTTAAATTCAAATTTAAATATTTATGAAAAATTTATTACGCATCATTTTTGATTATATGGTATACCGAATTCCCGCCTGACCGAGGAAATTGACATCTGGACTTGGCTGTCATTAATTTGCTTCGTTAATGTGAAAGCAAACAAAGGGAAAATAATGGCGCGGAGTCATTATTTTACATTGTAATTAAATTTATGCCACTCCACACACAAGTGTTCTCGATAATGCTTATGCAGAACTCAATTTGTTGTCACATAATTACAAGAAATAACACCGCGGGGCATTATGAGTGTAAACAAGGCGTCACAATTAAAGTCATTAATGTTGCCATAAAAACGTGCAAATTCAATGGGATTTTCACTAAAATCACTCACACTAATTAAAACTGCCCCCTGGCTAATTCCAGCATTATGTGCAAGATTTTATCAGTTCCTGTCATTCACTTGGAAATTCCTCTTATATTCGCCAGCGTACCATTTAGAAGTAGCAAACCTACATAGGTATCTGTGTATTTGTGGTATCTTTGGCCAGGATCTATGCACCTGCCTGTGAAACTCATTCGTTGCTCACTGAACACCAAGCTAATTGATTACAGCAAATTCAATTCGTGCTTAATTAAATTAAAATTTTGATTTTATCAGCACTCTGCCCCGCAGCATATGCTCCATGCCTCGAGGGACGTGTGCTTTAAATGGAAATTTAAATGGATTTCCAGCATAGGCAGAAGTGAACTAGCTGGCTGTGCAATTACCCCACCTAATTAATGATCTGCTATTCCGCAAGGACGTGCCTGATTAAAATTTGTGTGTAGCTAACACATTAATTAAAGTTTCATAAGAGGCGCAAAAAAATGCGAACGAAACAAGGGCGACTATTTAAATATTTATTTCAGTCATTTGTATTGTTGAGCAGACCTCAAAGTCCTGGAGACAGAAAATACCTTTGGCACACAAATTGCATTTGCGTGTCAACCGCAAAGAGGAGCGCTGTCAGGGGGGTGGTGGTGGTGGTGTTACCTGCCCGATGTCTATGTGTGAGTGTGTATCTGAGACATGCGAAGCGTGCGTAAGTCGGCAACATGTAAACGCGTATTAATTAAGCCAAAACAAAGCGCCGCCGCTCAAGAACCAGACGAAATGCGAAGACGACGACGACGACGACGACGACGACGGCGACAAGGACATGCAAAAGGAGTGGCAAGTGGGCGGCGGAAGGTGGACGATGGGGGGTGGGTGGTGGTGGCAAGGAGGCGTGACAAGTCGAGAGCTTGTTCACTGCCATTTTCTCTCCCCTTGTCCACAGGAAATGGAAATGTCCTCATAATACGCCAGACGTGGTACATTTAATTTCTTTTTTGTGCGTGCGACTTCCTTTGACTGATTCTTTTGATTCCATTTATACATTTTAATTATACAACCATCTCACATACTTCTCGCATATCTCTCCTTATTTAATGGGCGTTTTATTTAAACAGCCCCTAATGAACAGGCAATCCCCGCCGCCGCCAGGTGAACAGCCCTCGAAGCCGTCGAGCTGTCGACTTTTCCGGCATTGTCACACCTGTCAGCAGCAGTGGGTCCGAGCTGCCACAAATGTCAATCCCGGCTTTAAACTGGTGCTGAGTGAAGCCAACTCCGAATAGATTTGCATCAGCTTCAAACCAATTAAGATAAAATTCTGGCGCACACTGAACAAAATTATTTGGATAATAAGATAATGCAATTTTTTAAATAAAAGTTAATGCTAACTCAAGAAAAATAGTCATTAAAAATGTCTGAATACTATTAATCAACTTAAGCTCTTAATATTTTAAATTTTTAGCCTCTTTTATTTATAATTTTAACACCTGGTTTTCAATAATTCGTTGAGTGCATAAAATAACGTGCGAATGAGGTCTGTCAGAGGGGTTCCAATTCAATTTCGTGCCCACTTTAATTGCAATTCGTGTTAATTTCGCCGACGAAACTTGGGTTAACAACCACTTGAGGCGGCCAGCTGCCACTTCATCGGTCATTACGGTCTGCCATAAACAAATCAGCAAACAAACTGGCCGCCACCTGCCACCTTCCGACGGCCACGTCACCACTGGACACGCCCACTTTTCGCACAAATTGCACGTTGGGCGCCACGAAAAAAGTTGTGAAATGGAGGAACCGGAAGCGGAAGAGCCGAGCGAAGAAAGCGAAGGGAAACAAAGGAGACAGCAAAAGGAAAATCATTCATTATCATGTCACGTCAATCGAAAAACAATCTAATGACTGCACATGATTTCTATCTCAAATAGGTTCGACACGAGGCTGGAAAAGGGGCAAAAACGGGAAGGAAAAGCGGAAAGGCCGCCTCCACACACACACACACGGTCACAACAACACACTCGAAGAAGTGCTTGAAAAGTTTGCGGCGAAACGTTTATTATGCATTAGCCATGCTTAAATGGTTAAATCAACTGTAAATCTCTCTCTCTGCCCACAATAAGGTCGGGGTGATGGGCGGAGGACGGAGGACGGCCTTCGTTGGGCGGTCAACTGCACAAATCAAGTGTGAACTGTGTGTGCGGATGAGTGTGATTTGATAAATCACTGCGATAGGAAGTCAGGAGGGCGAGGTTTATCGGAAACTAAGATACCATGGATGGGTCGGCTTTTCCAGTTGATTTGGAGTTTGCTAGAATCGAGGTTCAATTTTGGCCAGATTTTAGGGTAAGCTAAGGCGAAACCCAGTAATCCGGGCTATATTAATCAGTCAAGTGTAAGATAATAATAATTTAGCAATTAATAATTAACAATGATCAGGTAATTCTGTCGAATATTTAAATATGATATTACAAAAAATCTTTACTATCAATTTTTAATATATCGACTTTATTTTTAAAAGGTATATCGGAAAAACAATGTTTGTTATATAGTTTTGGGTATTTGCAGAGCCAAAAACACTACCGAGGGAGGAGACAAACTCGCCAACAAGCCGCCCTCCTCTCCGGGTCCCCTGATTGACCATGACTTTATATATTGTCTGAACTGCAGCAGATCACTGGCGGTAAGCCAGCCTTTGGAAGTTGATACGGAGAAGTCGGACAATTCCACGAAGAGTCTTGCAGAATATTCGAAACAACCGCCCAGGCTCACCTGGGCCGAATTAGGTTCCATGGATGTGGATGAGGAGTCGGTACCCGAAGAAGACATTCAGTACCGCTGGAACTCGCCTCGCCTGATGATCCTCTGCGAAGATGGCGACATTAACTGCGCCATGCACTATCTGTGTGAGTCCCTGCACGATCCCTTTGCCAGCAACTCGGTGGCCACTCTTCTGCTGCAGGAATCGCTGCTGGAGGAGTTCATTGATCGTGTGAAGGACCGCTTAGAGCCGCTTAGCTCGCAGATCTCGGGCCACCCAGTCTTCCTGCAAACGCTGCAGCGGTTGGAGCTTCTGCAGGCTAAAACTACAAGGGGGAATCCAAAGAAAGTGCCGCTGAACGAAAGTCCTGTGCTGGTCTACGACCTTAGCCAGCGGTATTTGGGAAAGGGACCTACTGGCGTGATTACGGTCCACACTTTCCGGACCATGCAAGAGGCCATCAAGTTGCAGTCCAAGGAGTCGCTGCCCTTCACTTCGGTCACCATTTGGAACGAGAAACTGGCAGCCGCCTACGAACTGGTGGCGCGATTCAAAATGTTGATCTTCCTGCTGAACTGCTTCTACGTGGACCTCGGCCCAATAAGCATGGCCTTCTCGATGAACCAGAACTCAGTCAAGATTGTGGACGGCTACCACTACGAGACGCTGACCTTTCGAAGCGACCGTAAGGTGATTGTCCATCCCGTTGGCACCATTTGGGCCAACTTGGTCCACGAGCGAGCCCTCAGTTTCTGATCTGTGCCAGCTAGCGAACTCACTTGAACCCAAAACTTTTACCTAGCTGGAAATTTAAATTATTCGTCATTGATCTGAGCCCGTTGGCTAATTGACTTTCCGGCTGGGCAACTCAATTAGCAATTTAATTGCGAAAATAAGTCTGCCCATCCCTGGTGCCTCTGGCCCATCTATCTTCAACTCAACAGGCTTGCCAGGCAATGTAATAATCAATGGAAGTAAAATTGTGAGTGACTCTGTATTGTGAAATTAAAAATTCCTTCTGCGAAGTAACTCGCCCAACGTGCCAATAATTTCAAAAATGTACTTTGCCCCATTGCCACATCCCCCAGGCCTGGCCCCTAACTCCTCCCCGACAGAGCCGGGAGCACAACAAAGGCAACAAAGGCGGTTCGTGATGGCAACAAAATGTTGAGGCTGCCAGGTGGCTTTCAGACGAACGGATCGGGGGGTTGGGTGGGTGGCAGGTGGAATTCCGAAAATGCCATAATTACTCCACTTGCTGCCAGCTCCGGAGATGGACGTCCAGGAGGGTGGTGGTTAGTCGGGGAGGATGGACTCCGGGGCGGTCATATTAGTGGCACATTTCGGCTTGTTGGTTGGCCAAATAATACGGCTGCGGAGTGGGCAACTTTATAATGTACTTCCGTTTGCTTTCATTCACATGGCAGCGAAATATCAAAATATTTGACATTTGCATAAATAACACGATCTCGGGCAGCAAGTTGAAAGGCAAATAAGGCCCGTACTCGGGGCCCCCGGAACCGCACACATATCATGCCTGGAATTGGGCAAATTTAAAAAACCAGCACATGCCGCGGCGGTAAAGCCGAGGCAAATATGCAACGCAGGCAGTGAAAACAAAACCGTGGAATTTCTGCCCCCCGGCCGGAGTCCGTACGCCGGGCTTCACCCTCCTGACTACGGGCTGGTCCGGTGGCTAAGGGCAAATAAGATTTGCGCGGAATTCGGCCGAATTCTGGCGGGAGCGAAGGTCTGGCGCCCGTTGTGGTGCAGTACTATGGTATATCGCATGCCGGCAAAGCACGGCCAGCTCACTAAATAAACAAATTCATAAACAAACAAGTGCGAGAAATATGGGACTTTGGCAAGGGGCCCAGCTTGATACCCTGATGGAGTGATTCAGATAAATTGATCAATCTACAGTGGGAATTATAAAGAAAAAGAAGAGGTAACTAACATTTAATTATAAAATTTTGGGCTTATCACAGCCAAAGGTTAATAGTAAGTTAATATTATGAAATTTGTATTTGTATTATATATTTTTCTATATTCATTCGTAAGAATATTATCGATTTGATCGGGCCTACTCATAAGTTAATCATAAAATCCGAGCTTATAAGTCAAGGTACCCCCTGCTAGGGCATATTGTGCCGCTGCTGAAAAAAAGTAAAGGCAAGGCCGGAAAAACCCCAGCGCGAAATGAAGTTTATTTATCCAGCGAATGGGCAAAAATTAGACGCGGCTGCATGCAAATTGGCAATTAGGAAATCCTTTATTTTATGAATTTTTCGCCAGAGTGCCGATTTCATTTTCTTCATGTTGGCTCGTTCGCTCCGGTTGGGTTTGAAATGCAAATAAATGACTCCACCCCTGGATCCACATCCACATCCCACATCCATTGCCACTTCCAACTCACGGCGTTGAAGCCCCATTTACGGCTTTTATTTGGATGTGTGGTGGGGGCGGTTTCGAGTGGAAAGAGCCGAAAGTGGGTTTCATTTTTCACGCTTTTATTTGGCATTTTATTTTGGTAACATATTTAATTTCATTGCAGGTTTTCGCCCGCGGTAATTTCTGGCATATGAATGCAAATGAATTTCGTTGAGTGGAAGGTTAACTTCTGAAGCTTGTGATGTATACAATTTAAATGGATTGTTATGGGCAAGTTCGAAATGATATTTTTACGCGATTATCCCTGCTGGCAGTGGTGCTCTGCCTTAAATGCCGTAATCAGGGATTTAATGAGTTCCTAAGAGGTTCGCTCTGGTCTTCCGCTCAAATATCAAAATAAACTGGCCACGTATGCTTTGATTTTCCCATTTCGTCCTTGCTTGCCGCGAAAGCAATAACGGACTGGCCGAAAAGCGGATATCTCTTGAAAAATAAATCCGCAAGCGATAAAATTTGGCGTGCGGAAAACTCTCGAGGTTGGCTGGGAAACCGTTATCTCCACTCCAGCTCCGTTCCATTCGATTTTCGCTCCGTTCGCTGGTAATTGCAAAGGTGAGGGCCCAAAAAGGAGAGAAAAAATATCTGAGCTAACAGCAAAAAACAAAGCAAAACAAACAGAACCAAACAAGGGAAAAGCTGAAAAACCCACGGAGAGCGGAATCTCAGTTAAGTTGAAAGATTACATCCTGCTGGATGTTGGGAAAGGACGTGGGGATGGAAGGAAGCCTTAACTAAAAGTCAATTCCCAAATCAGCACAGCAAAATGACTGGGAAAGTAGCTTATTTCAATCGAACGTTTTGGCACAGCTCGTTTTAAATTGTTCAAATCCTTTCATTTTAACGACCTTAAACTTTTCTATTGTCTCTCCTTTGGCCAGTTGGCTCCCTTTTGCTCCTTTTTCGCCCGATTGTTTGGCATTGTTTCATGCAAGTTTGATTTTCAAATCAACTGCAGGTTGCCTCCACCATAATCCTGTCCTGGTCCCCACTTAGTTGCCGTTGTTGCTTGCCCCATTCAGTTGTCAAAATAAAAACCTGGCAACCTGTTGCCACGGAGGATTACTCGTGCGTTGAATGGCCCCCATCTCGGAGAGTCCCGCCCATCCCCGGTTTCCCCGATATAGGAAAAAGTTTTCGCTTTGATATTTGATTTCTGTGCTGGCCTGCAACGGCAGGAATCAGCCAAACGGAAAAAGGTTCAAATTACCGCGAGTTTTTGGCCGTTTTCCGTCTCCGACATTTTCGTCCTTCTGTTGTGATGTATTTTTTTCATTTCTTCGTCTGCTTTTTTGTGTGTTGTTTAGTGTTGTGTGCACTTTACTTTTCGGCTTTGACTTTTATGCCATGCTGGTCTAAGTTTTGACCAAATCACGAACTGCAGGACTCTCAGCCAACCTGATGGTGAAGTAGGGATTGCAAGTTTTGGCAAATAGAATGGAAAATAGGGGCTCATAGTAACCGTATTGAAGTCAGTACATCTCCAAAGGATAGTTTATAGTCCGTTCTTATAAATAATGAAATATATGTTATCCAAAACTATATTCAAATTAGTTCTGTATTAACACAAGTCTTGGATTTAGCAATTTTAATATGTTTAAGATGGTTTTCAAAATACCAATAAAATAATGTTTAATCAGGATTTTTTATGACCTCAGCTCGAAGCTGCTTTTGCAGGATTCCTTCTTTTTAAAAAGCGCCCGCCACTTCGAGCAACGCTCAATATCGATTTAATTAATTTGAGAAACGTTGGGGCTGATTAAATATTAACCCAGCTGACGTACATATTTATGCATGTCGAATGTCGGAATGTTAAAGAGAGTGCCGGTCCTTGTCGAGGGGATCCTGGGGATCCTGCGCTTGTGTGTATCGCATGACAGCCATTAGGAATATTGATTTCCATATCGCAACATTAACCAACGTCAGGAGGCAACAAAAAGTCGCATTCCCGAGCTGCAAAAAAGTGAGTACAGACGGGACACCAACACTCGCACACCCAGACACACACACACATCTAAATACGCTGACGTAATGTGAAAATTATGCGTTGTAATTTGCGCCATCAGAAGGAAACGGAAGACGACGCACTCAAACAAAAAGCGAGGGAATGGAGAGGAGCTTCAAAAGGAAAAAAAAAACAAGCGAGAAGGAAAACAAACGCAGAAATAACACGCAGGATATTCCAGTTCCAGTGCCAAAGCAGATATAGGCGGGCAAACAGACACATTTACATATGCTAAGACGCTCGTGTGTGTGTGTATGCAGATGTGGACATGAAAAATTGGAACACTTTAGCAGTCAAAGCAGATTCACACAGTTCCTATCGACGGAGCTGGGGAAGCCTGAGGACTGAGCCCCAATCCCCTGTTGCTGTGTCCTTGTTGTTTTTTGGCACTTTCTCACCATCGTCCTCTTCATCTTAGCTTTTTTTTCTGGTCCGGAGCCCAAAAGGAAGTTGTAAAAATAAAACATAGCACGTTTACAAGTCCCGAAAAAAACAGAACCGAGAAAATTCTAGAAGTAAGAGGGTTGCGACGTAGAGATACCCGCTAGGTCTAGGAAATCTAATAATATTTACCAAGGAAAGCTGTTGTTTTTAATCTCAACCAGATTTAAATATCCAATCATTTAATAAATCGAATAATAATGATAATAACTTGAGGACCAGCAGTAAAATGAAATAATAAGATATATACCTTGAATATTTTTGGATTATATGTACAGAAAAGACTGTTTTAAAATTAATAAACAATAATATAGTTTCAATCAGCGCTTCTTTGTTTAAAATCACTTCTTAGGAATGCTGTTTGCAATTTATGTAAATCCTTGTCCAACTGCAAAAGTTTTAAAAACTAAACTATATCGATTTCGCTTTTTCAAGTTTGTTACAAAACACACAGGACACTCCCTGCCACTCGTAAAACAAAAACACAATGCAGGGGAAAATGGAAAAGCTGGGTGGGGACCGTCCCCGAAGGCGAAGAAAAATAACTACATGAAAATTTGTGGTCGCTGAAGAATGTGGCAAGCGGAACCCAACGGGGAGGAGCTCAAATTTGCGGGCACTAAACGTGGCATGTGGCGAACTCAGCATCGGCATCAGCATCTCCGGCTCTCAGTATTCGGTATCCAACCTGCGTGTGTAAATGCTGCGAAATAAATTTGTGTCGCTTGCAGCGTTGGCAAAAAAGAAATGGAAATAAAAATGTGTAACAACGGCAGAGAACAAGCAAAGCCTCATAAATGTTTACACCTTGTCTGGGTGGAAATTCAGGCTCAGGTGGGTGGCAACGGGTGGACGGGACGTTTGGGAGCGGGACGGGGTATTTTCCACACGCACAAAACGTGTCAATGACGCAGGTGGAAGAGGTGGTGGAAGGCGCTGATAAACGTCGTTCTAATAATGATAATGGCTGACGATGCATCCTGTTGCACAGTGGAACGGAAATGTGCGGGCCCATAGTAGCTAATGAACTAAGCATCTCTAAAGGGGGTGTTTTACGACCACAGTGAACTCGACTTCCTGGTGCAGGTACAGGTTTTGGTAATAAATAAGGACTTAAACAGACTGAAAATCAGAACTGATTAAAATGTAAGTCTAATATTGAAGTATGTATGATAAGTATGATTTCATAAAATAATATTTAGTTAGTGCTCTCAATCATCAACAAGCAAAACTTACAAAAAAACCTATATAATGTTTTAGTAATTTTCTATAAGGACAGATAAACTAAGAACTCCCAAGAGATAGAAAATCAATGGCCTATCTTATCGGAATGACCCACTGTTCTATATTATTTCAACACACATTTGAATCATTGTTTTTCCCTGCCGGTTCTGTGGCTCTGGGGTTCCCTACAACTTTCTGCTACTCGTATTATGTACTGTGCAGATACAATGGACAGCGAGAGACATTTAAAATTTTCGTCGAGCTGAGTACATAATTTGTTTAATGGTGATTTATTGTCTGGCTGCTGGCGCCTCGCTCTAACAAATGGCAAAAAATTGCAAATTCTTTTTCTTGCCGTTCCTTTTTTTTTACTGACGGGATAAATGTGCATTATTCTTTGTGCTCCACATTCACTCTGTGGATATTCCTTTCACTCGCCTCGACTTTTTATGTGGTCGGTCACATTTCAATTGGCTCGCTTTTGCCTCGTTTGCCGCAACTTTGGCTAATTTTTTCCAGCATTTTATTGTTCAGGTTTTTCGTAAAAGTTTCCATTTTCAGCATCGTTTTTTTCCAGGTTGCACATATTTAATTAAAAGAGTTCTAGCCTCCATGTAATGAGCTTAACTAATTTCCAGTTTTGTTCGACAGCCAAATATGTTGCAACTTGCTCCATGAAAGCAACAGGGAATTGTGTAATGAGTTTCATTAATTAATGTGAAAATTTAAATTATGCAAAACTTGTCATAATCAGTCGAAAAATTTTAGTTAATAGATTTTATGGCTTAGCCAAATAAACCAAAAAATTTATCAAATAATTTTAAAGTGTTCTCTTTTTTTTTGTGAATATTTTAAATTAAGTTTACATCCACTTAAAACTGTTAGCATCCCATTCAAAATAAACAAAAAAGAAAGGCTAGCCAATTATAATTATAAAAAAGTTTGTTCTGATTTTTTGCTTATTAACAAGGTAAACAAAAAAAATAAATAAAAGTAAATAATTCAAAAGCCCACGCATATTGAAATTAAATTTGTTTGGATTTTTGCGCCGCAATTAAAGCAAATGCAACAGCTTGAAAATGAATTTTCGGTCTCGCGGTGTCGGAGCGTACGGAAAATGAAATTAATATTAAACAATGCGTGACATTTTTTGCAACAAAGCCAAGGCAAACGGAACCAGGACCAGGATGCGGAGTCGCAGGATATATGGGACCAGCAACCGCACCTCGTTAAAATTGTATACCGAAATGGCTGCATATATGTGGCCAAAACACACAGCCAACAAGAAGCCGTTTCATAAAAGTTAAACAAGCAAACAAGGTAACAAAATATACAGAAAAAAATGGAACAGAACAAAAATAAAACAAAACCAGCGTTAAAGCCTGAAGAGAATTAAAAATTCAATTCAGCAAAGGCCTTGCGTTGGTCTTCGTTTTGGAATTCATTAGATGAACATGCAAAATGTGAGCTGAGCTATACATATCATTCATTTGGTCGCTAATTATAGCTGATATCCTTTTAAAATCCATTTGAATATGAATATTAATCAATCCCGCTTATACCGGGGCTCAAACCCAAAGCGTCCAGCCAGCACTAAATGTGTGACAAATGAAATATTAAAACAAATTTCAGACCCGCAAACATTTAGACATTTTTCGCACTGACAAAGTGCCGCAAAAAGTTGCAAATTGTGGTTATTGTGGACGACAACACAAAAGCTCGAAAGAGGCGAATATTTCAAACGAAACGATGACTGGCTTTGGGGAATGTGTTAAAGTTTTAAATTCTGAAAAAGCTGTTACCCAACATGAGTATACGGAAAAACTTACGAATCATTATCGTCATGGCAATGATGATGACTAACACCAGGGACAACACCAGTCACACGCCGGGTGGTCGTCCTTTTTTTTTTTGCAGCATTTGAAACGGATGTGATTTCATCAAATATTCATATTAACTAATTGGATTTGATGCCAGTTTGCATATTTGCGTGTGTCCTTCGCAGCGGATATTGCCCGACGATCTCATCAGGCCGCCCTTCCGCTTCGGGACAGTCGTAATTTAATACACAATGTTTACTTTAAATTAAAAATTTATTTACACACGTGTCGCTGAAGGACGTGGCTATTGAAAATCGAGTGTGTTTCCCTGCGGTTTTCTCCCACGGCATTGCTTACCTAAAAAGAGCAAAAATAAAAAAGGCCATATAAGAAGAGTGCGAAATGCTTTATAAATATGATAGTTTATAAATTTATTACATTTATTAAAGAGCTATTCAAATGGGTATTTAAGGAGTACAATTTTGTATTGTATTCCTAAAAAAAATTTACATGTTCTCTTACAAATACTAATTAAACATTTGTAAATTTCCTAAAGCGATCAACTTTCTGTGTAAGCTAGGATAATTGAGTCCTTTTTGAATGGTGAATACTTTCAAGATGTTGACGAAACTTCTCTGCAACTTTTCATATTTCTTGGAGCCGCGCCCAAGGACCCGTGTCCTAATCAAACTATCTCCGCACTCGCCGCGCGCCGCTGTTCTGATAAACTTACTGAGGGACGAACTTTAATTCAGGCTTTTCATTAGCATTCAAGGCGGC